AAAAGTCAAACCCGGGCTCTCACCTCGGAAACCGACACAACTTATAAAATCCGACAATCCATTCAATTACGAGTCCAACCATACTAGTTTCACTCAAATCCAACTCCGAATCGATGTTCAAAACTCAAAAAAAATCACTCTATGAAACTTTAGACAAAACCCCCTAATTTCTCTTTAAAATTCATAATCCAAATGCCAAATATGAAGATAGATTTATGAAATATAATCAAAACTGAGTAGAGAACACTTACCCCAATCCATGTGGTGAAATTTTTCTCCAAAGTCGCCTAAAACCGAATTCCAAATCTTAAAATATGAATAAAATAGTCAAGCCCTCAATATATAGCTTTTGCCCAGGCATCGTTGCATCTGCGACATCCCAGCTGCTTTTGCGACTAACTTTTCGCTTCTGCAATAACAACTAACCAGCCGACTCCTCGTACCTGCGGATCTCCATCCGCTTCTGCGCAACTGCAGGTGTGAAGCCAAACACGCTTCTGCGCTCCAGCTCGCTTCTGCGCCTAAGACCATCGCTTCTGCGAGGTCAGATGCGCACCAATTTCCGCATTTGCAAAGACTCCAAACTTAGCCCCTTTTCGCGGGTGCGACTGCATTTCCGCTTCTGCGGCCACTGCACCTGCGCAAAACCAGAACCAACACGCATTCAGCAATGCAACATGAGACAAAAATGATCTGAACTACATCTGAAACTTAACCAAGCCCCTCGGGACCCCGTTTGAATTTACCAACAAGTCCCAAAACATAACACGGACCTACTCGAGGCCTCAAATCACGCATAATAACATCAAAATCATGAATCTCACCTCAAATCTAACTTAATGAACTTTTAAACTTTCAACTTCCAAATCTCGTGCCGAAACATATCAACTCAACCCGGAATGAACCCAAATTTTGCACTCAAGTCCCAAATGACATAACGAAGCTATTCCAATTCCTGAAACCACATTCTGAACCTGATATCATCAAATTCAACTCCCGTCAAACTTATAAATATTCCAAACCTTTAAATTTCCAACTTTCTCCAATTAGTGCCGAAACCTTCTAGAAATATCCAAATGCAAATTCGGGCATACGCCCAAGTTTAAAATCACCATTTGGACCTAACGGAACCATCAAAACTCCGATCCGACGTTAAATACACAAAAATCAAACTCGGTCAACTCTTCCAACATATGGCTTCAAACATGAAATTCATTCTTTCAAATCAAATTTCGGATCACCTAAAAATCAAAACAGACGATTCACACAAGTCATAATATATCATACGATGTTGCTCAAGACTTCTAATGGCTGAACAGAATGCAAATGCTCAAAACGACCGGCTGGATCATTACAGGTAATGAACACAAAGTTAAATGATCACCCATGAAATTTACTCCTAACAATTACTGTGTAAAGATAATGAAGCATTTTGAACAATCAGGATCTAAGCAAATTAGATCCATAAAACAAACATGAGGTATGGACATCTCTAATAGAATTTCTAGAGTAGCACCCATATGCATCTGTTTATGCATCCATTTCTGTTGAAAGGATATCACTACCAAAGACTAATAGCTATATCGATACGCTGACATCGAAGGTTATCTTTACTAACATATATACAGCAACAATGCATTGCCGAACGATCATTCAATTTGTTAACACTCGAAACTTGAACTGCCCTTAACTACATTCAGAAAATGACAATGTCAACACTGAATGACCTACTTAATCACCCAAAAGAGCCAAAGAAAAGAGAGGCAAAAAACCAAAACAAAAAATGAAAACAATACAATTGACCTTAATTTACACAACGGACACCCATATGAATAACGCTTAAGGACCACAAAGATGTCAAAAGATCCATACCCAATGTAAGTTACCTCAGACGTATGAAAGAAGAATATTGTTTGGCCCCATCATGTCTCTTCCAAGTGGAAGTTTCATAAAATTAAAACCAACCAGAAGACCAACACCCGTAACTACAGTGAAAACGGATAAGAGATCCGAACTTACATCAACAATGTACCAAATACTCTTCACGAACTCCAACTCTACGAGCGAATTCATTCAGCCATGTTCATTCAGTCCAGACCTACAACAAAGCCAATGCGTCAAAGTCTAATCACGATTGAATTTCCTCCCAAAAGAAGTGTAAGTGCACAAAGAGAATAATAAAGGACATAATGATGCATGACGATTATAAAGGTGAATAAAAAGCTTCATATAAAGCATGAAGAAAGTTGTCTAAGAACTGACGATCTGCACTGGATTGGGACTCCTTAGGAGACGAGAGGTCCTTAGAAGTTCAGTCATATAAGAACAGAAAGCAAATCGAATTGCATGGAGAATACTAGATAGATCATGCATGATAAGAACCAGAAGTCCACATTCAGATTGAAGTTATGTACAACCTGCACTTTACTCTCATCAGCAACAAACAAGTATTTTGGAACGCACAATATGCCTGAAGAGGGGAAAACGAAACTTGCGAAACTTACTAACTGATGCATCCTTTAGCTCCCCCTCTAGATGTGATTTTTTCCCAAATCAAAGTCTTTACCTTTTTTCGTCAAAACGCCTAATAAATCGAGGTTTATTTTATGTCTATAACTCAATAGAACTTTAATATTAACACAAGCCTATCCTTTTTTTAATCAAATCACCTACTAAATTCCTAGTCTTCCAAGCAAGCATCATCATATTTTTAGAGTTACATTTTAACAAACTAATATTGCATCGCCCAGAGACAAAATTTCGGGGGTTATCTTCCCCGAACCAGCCCTAGACTTCTTTGAATTTTTTAAGGTTGAGGAGCCTCAAAAAGTAAACTCACAATTTGGATTTTATCTAATACATGATGAAGTAGGAGAAACCAGAACATAGTTGGTGCGTTGCTGGTATAATAAAAATACAGGAATAACAAGCCTCTTCTAATCAAGTCAAACTTGACGACCAACAAACTCTGAATCAATCCAACATCCATGGTCACGCTCTTCTTATCAACTCACCGTGATTCTTGTCAACTCATATAGAGACCATGTCTTCACCCTATAAAAGGAGCCTAAATATTCCAAGCAAGGGCATCAATAATCATTAACTCACTACAACTATTATATTACTCAAGATCTCTTTGTTTTACTTGTTCTTGTTCTTAGACTTGACTGAATTTATATCGACAAGAAATCTTTGAATCTTGGACTAGACACTAGAACAATAATAAAACGACTCCCTCTCTTTCTCCCCATCTTTGAGTTTTTTATTTATTGTTATTTCTCTCAATTTACTTAATTCTTTTGCTATTTGTGCCGTTTTACTTGATCTTGGTAGATTTTAGCATCTAAAGTAATAAGACTTTGAGCATTATTGAGAATGAAACTGAGTATACAAGAAGTTTGGTTTAGGCGTTAGCTAATTTTTAATATTTTTCAGCATAATCATGTTTCCTGTTTAGATATAGAAAGGCATGGGCGGGCTACCATTACAGTTCAGTAGCACATAGGTGCAGAAATAAGATCCTTCTTAGAAACGGCTATGTTCATATTGATTGTGAAGTAAAAATTCTCCCACCGAGAAACACAGGAGTGGAATAAAGAAAAAAGAAGCAAAGATTGAGAAAAAAATTTAATGTACAATCACCAATGCTTATATAGGTTGAAATATAAACTTTTGATTCTTCCAGACCTATCAAAAAAAAATATATAAAGTTGTGTTTATTCAGGAGAAGCAATATACAAACCGATCGCTTGAGATAAATAAAATTGTGACTTCTTTTATCTCAAAAGAAACTTGTGCAGAGCAAGAATGTGCAAAAATAAACAAACGAATGCTTCTGCATAGTCTTATATCTTATCTATTTTAATAGGAAAATTCTCATACCATTAATGGTGAGGGAAATTGAATTTTATCTCCAAAATTGACAAACAAACACAAGGAAAAATCAAAAATAATTTTTTTACTACCTATCAGTCCCTTTTAGTGTCCAAATCCAGCCAACAAATAACACAAAAACCTTCCTTTTTCTTTAGCAATCCGTTGAAAATCAAATGACAACATTTCTTCCATTCGTCACACACTAAACTAGCCAATAATAGTTGAGAAACACATCTACTGACATGGAAGAAGTACGCTATACCATTTTTTATTTTTCAGCCCCCGATAACCACCAACACCTTCCGATGATCACATTTGAACCCAGCCAGACAGAAATTGGTACACACCAAAGGTAAAAGAAAGAAAAAAGACAAGAGAAGGGAAAACTGAAAAGATATCAGGGGTGGAGCCACAGTGTTGGTCGCGGGTTCGACCGAACCCAGTTTGTATATGTATTAAGAAATCCAATGAATATGTATAAATTATTAATTTAGAACTCAATAAATTAAAAGGATTATAATCCTGAACCTATAAGGTTCAAATTCTAGCTCGCCTCTCAAAGAGATAGAGCATCAAATAATACCTAGGGATTTCGAAATACCCTCCCTGTCTCATCTCAGTAGAAACTAACCTAGGAATTCATAGATCTTTGAATCAAAGCCAGTAATGCACCGGCTTCACCAACGACAAAAAGGCTCTGCAAAATAAATCATCAGAGACGCTTCGACATAGGTAATAGGAGAGTAAAAGCCCGTTTGGACATAAGAATTTTTTTTTTTCAAAACAATTTCACTTTTTTCGAAATCAACGTTTGTTCATAAAATTTTTAATTTTCACTCAAAAATGCATTTTAAAAATTTTCGAAAATTTAAAAAATTCCAAAAAACTATTTTTCAAAATTTTTATTTAAATCACTCACAAAATTTTAAAAATATCCTAAAATTATATTCATGTCCAAATACTAAATTTAAAATGCTATTTTTACTTAAAAAAAATTTCGCCCTATTTTAAAATTTTACGATTCTTATATCCAAACGCCCACTAAGTAAAAAGAGAGGGAGATGACTATTAGAGGACGATCTTCCACGTCAAACTAAGAATACGAAATTCCTAAATTACCCCTGTAAGGACGACTAAGAGCTGCTAAACTCCCGCTTCTAAATAGTAGTAAAATAAATATACCGCACAAAAACAGTCGGTGTTTCCTTTCCGGCGCCCGGTGCTCCTCCTCTTACCTCCGGTCTTCTCCGATTAGGTAATTCTTTCTTTGCCTTCTTTTACCTACGTATTAGAGATTAATTTGACCGATTTTGTTAGTGTTAAAGAATTTTGAGAGAAAACTGGAATATAAAGATTTGTCTTTTGATAAACAGATGAATTTTGCTGGTATAAAAGGTTAGCTAAACAAAGAGAGGTCTTAAATCTGTCTCGCTGCTAAAATTCATGTCATATCACAAAAATTGCAATTCAAATCTAGGTAAAAGAACTCTTAATTATGTATGATTCATTGAAGGAATTAAAACTAGGGGGAATTAATTTAGAATCTATGAGTGTTGAGCAGCGGCGGATCCAGGATTTTGTGCAAGCGGATTTAATCTTAGAAGTACATAACTTTAGTCGTAAAATAGTAGCTGTCAAGTGAGTTCAAATAAAATATTTATACAAAATTTATGTAGCTTTAATCGTAATTTATATATATATATACAGTATTATTTTTTGACGAAGCGGGTTCAACTGAACCCGCTTTCCACCATGTGCGTCCGCCACTGGTGTTAAGTCAGAAGGCTGTGGGCATCTTTGATGTAATTATTTTTGAGAGAAGGAATTACATTTCACTATGTTTTTTTAGATATCTGAGAAGGTTCCATCAATTGGGCTAGTTGATTTGCCTATCTCTGCTTTAATGATTGGTTATACTTTGATCAATCCAAAGTAAGCCATGGTTGGATGCAGAAATTATGGTGCAATGGTTTGGTAAAAATGAGCAACAAAAATGAAGAGAAGTCGACAGCGAGAAAGAAAATATGAACTGCATTTACAGAATCTTTTAGATGTGAAATATGTGGTGCAGTGAGTTTAAATCAGCAGGAAAAGTGTAGAATAGTTGAAGATAAGAAAGAAAATCTGAAGTATTTACAGAATCTTTATGCATTGTTATAGAGGTTTCCAGTAGTTGATCCCAGCTGCTATTTGGTGGGAAAGAAATCTAAGGTACTTTGAGGGGAAAAGGAGAATGTAATTAGCCTTTAAAAAAGATGCTTTGTTTGTTGTTGCTAACTTTGTGGTGTAGCATGGCTGATATTGATTCCGTGCTAAATTTCCTGAATTCTGTGCGCAACCTGTAATAAAAATGTGTTTTACGTGTAACTATCCTCCACCATCATTCACCTAGTGCTCGGGCATTTTCATTATGATCTGTTATTTCTCATAAGTTTCCGGTACTTGACTTTTATTTTGTAACAAAGGCTTGCTTGTTTGCTTTAAAAAAGAAGCTTGTTTCCCTGATGGTTTAATCTTTTTTGGTCATATATTTTTATTTTATTTTTTTGTGTTTTTTTCCTTAATTTCCTGAGAAGGGGGAGTATTTATTTGGAAAATTGTCTGTCTCCTGTAGGTTTTCACTCAACGGAAGAAGATGCATCCACCTTTGACTCTGCATAGGCACCCTTTATGTGCTGATGTAAGTTCCTCACATTGTTAAATTAGAATCAGCGATCATCTTGTGCTTTTGAAGCACCAATTGCTCAATTTATTATGTCAATTTGTGGTCCAACACTTGCTGGGGTGTTATTATTCCCTTCTCTTTTTCCCTTTGTTCTTTTGTGAATAGCCATTTTACTTCTGAACACTGCATTTTACAGGTTTTCTAGGTAAAGTTCTAATATAGTATCTGTGTTAAGGAAATTAGTGTTTATAAGATGTATATACATTCCTTGTGGATAATTGATTTTAATGGCTGTTTCTTTACATGTGGTTATTCGCATTGACGTGTAGTCTTGACGTCATGATGTAGATCATAATTGCAGATTAGTTCAAGGTTTATGTGGTGCAGATTATAGAGGAGTTCCAGAAGTGTCACACAGACCACCCACTAGGAAAGTTCCTTGGGCAATGCACGGATCTGAAAATAAAGCTTGACCGGTGCTTCAGGCAAGAGGTAAGGTTTCTTGCTTTACCTGTAAGGAAATTGTAATGATTTTGAAAATTCATCGCTAATGTTCCCCGTGTATGAAGCCGATAAAAGAGATAAGATGTCCTTTTGCAGAAAGCTATAAAGAGAAAAGCAAATTTTGAACAGAGCAAGAAGTTGAAGGAGAGGCTCCAGGCTTACAGGAAGGAAACTGCTGGCATGCAATCTTGACGGTGATAGGAGGTTTGTTTTCGAGACACTGTTATGCATTTCAACTCATGAACGGTAGTTTAGCGGCTGGGGTTGATTGAAGAAAGATTCGTGAATAGAATTGCCGCTTGTCTATTCTGATGTTTTCATCGATCTCCATTACTTAAGTCAGTTGAAGTGAAATAATATGTATAGACACAAGAACTGATTAATTATAAGAGCAACTTATCCGACCATTCCATTTGGGCGGAGGTGGATCTGGGATTTGAATTCTATAGGTTTGAGTTCGGATTCTACCACAACTCATTTGATTTACTAGGTTCGAAATCTATTATTTGTGCTTGTTTAGTGAACTTTTCAACACATGTAAAGGGTCTGGGCGCCCTGGAAGTGTCAAAATAAAAATACTGAATTGATTGTGTGAACTGATAGAAGTGCAGTAAATTGGTTCTTTTCAGTTTTATTTAACCTTTCTATTGTCTGTTTTTGAGTTTTGGAATGACAGTAATATGGGAAAAGAAAGAGCAAATGCGAAGGAAAAAGCTGTACATAAGTCAATATTTTCCTTTATGTCTGGATTATGGGGAACAAGTCGCACCGTAAATAAATTTTTCTACTGCAATTTGTAAGCCAAGTTTCTTTTGGAACTTTGGAGCCTGGAGTGCATACTCAAAACTCTAAATTTGTGTCGAGGACCAGTTGGACAGTTGGATGAACAATTGCCATACTTTTTAAATTTTCGTAGTTTTGGTAGGATGACCAATGTTGTCTTAAATGGACAGTTGCTGTAAGTTAAATGTAAGTGGTACTCCTTCTGTACCTATGAAAATAAAAATGTGAGTAGTATTCTTCCTGTTGTGGAACACAAAGGGGGAAAAGGGGAGAAAAAAGAAAAGCTCTAAAATTGGGAGGAGGTAAAAATGATTGTACTCTTACGATAAATGATTGTATTCCTTGGGTAATATGAAACGAAATGTTCAGACTTCCAGTTTTGTTCCCTTTTAGAAGTTAACTGCTGGTAGTAAATAAGCAACCCGTATTAGGGGCGAATTTGATTCGGCGTTTAAGATTTTAGCATTGATCAAAATTGTAATTTTAAAATTATGGTTTTTATCTACTATTTGTTATAGTATTAGTGAATGTTTACACCTAAAATTATGTTGTGCACTGATAGTACTGGATTCAAATGAGCGCCTCTGCCTTTGATCAGTATTAGTTCCTGGATTATTCTTCTGCTCAGTATTAGTTCCTGGATTCTTCTTCTGCTGAAAGAAGTTATGAAAATAGGCATTGATATAAAAGCAAATATAAGAAGACCAATATTAGTTCCTGGACTCTTCTGTTGAAATTAGTTCTGAAATAGGCAGTGATATAAAAGCAAATAAAAGATGCCAAAATGGCGACATATACTTAACAGAGTCACCCTCTCCGTACAAAAATCAAAGGGCACCTAATAGCAGCACCATATAAAGGACAAGAGTTGTGGATCTCTTTGGCGATATCACGTATACAGAGAAGCCTTCATTGGTTACTCTAATGTTCTTTTTCAAATTTTAAGGATGCTTTAGCATTTTTACCCCTTCCCATTGGTTATCAATTGATTCAAATTGACATCATATAAAACAAAACGCACAAACGCATGAATTGGTTGGAGACTAACTTTGATGAAACTTGAACATTCCCCTCTCTTTTCAAAAACTATCTTGATTCAGACGCACACTCAGTGTACGTTCAATAGATTAAACTAAACTCAATCATTTTTTACAGAAAAGATAGACATAAATAAATTTTTCTTTTCACCCCCTCCATAAGCTAAGTTACTAAGCTAAAATTTTACTTCCTCCTTTTACCACTCCAAGGGGGTTAAGAAAAACTCTTTGACATGTCAAGAGATAAAAGAAGAAGAAAGTATTAGGAACTAACTTATCTCAATTACTTATGAAGTAGATTAGTAGAGCTGTAGAGGTATGAAGATTAGCACTGATGAAGATGAGTTGATTCAGTCTTCCTATTCGTTTTATATTCTTTAAAATAACAGAAAAGGGGGCTCTTTTACTGATCAAACTGCATAAAAAGAACCGTTTGAAATAGTTGAAGCACATTTGAAATCACTCCGGGGGAATCAGCTGGACTAAACACGAGCACATTTTAAGAAATATTCTTTGGTTAATAAATTGGTAATTTTCTGCGATTATATCATTTTCAATGTTTGATATTGCGTGTTTGATATGGTATATACTGTCTTTGAAGAACCAAATAATCTCCATTTATCACTTGTCCTTCCAGAGTATGAAAGTAAATATTTGTCGAGAGTCATTATTTAGTGACAAGTGTAAGAGAATGTGGATTAGACGTATAGAGTATTTTCAAATAAACTCTTGCTATATTTTAGTGAAGGAGAATACAAAATTTAATATTAAATTAGAGAAGAATATAGAGACACTGTCATTAATCCACCAAGTTTCGATTTTCGAACAGTGAGCTACTTACACTAAAAGATTTCTCGATATATAAAAGGATAAGAAAGCAAATATGAATAGAAAATGTTAAATGATTAACTGGCGACTTGATTGGGGCAGAGTTCCAAACCGGGGATTTTTTATCTCGGTTCAAACCGAGGAAAGTGTTTGTATTAATTATGGTCAAACTAAGATCAACACATTGTTTTTTTATCCTGAAATTGAGGGTGTGTTTGGTACTATTTTTTTTAATTTTTTCATGTTTGATTGACTGAAATATTTTAGAAAATATATTCCTCATGAACTCATTTTCTTCCAATTGAAAAAAATTTTCTTATTAAAAAAAGGGAAAATATTTTCCAAAACTCTTCTTTAATATTCCCCACCCTATTCTCCATTCCCACCAACCCCACCCCTACCTCCCATNAAATAGAGTACTTTCTTTTTCATTTCAATAAAATGAGTATTTTTTTTCATGATGTGAAAAAAGTATTTTCTTTTATTTCAACAAAAAAAGTATATTTCTTTCATGTTGTAGAAAAAGTATTTTCTTTCATTTCAACAAAATGATGTAGTAAAAAGTATTATCTTTCATTTTAACAAAATGAGTATTCATTTTTTTTTATCATGTAAAAAAAGTCTTTTATTTCATTTCAACAAAAAAAAGTACTTTCTTATTATGATGTAGAAAAAATATTATTTCAACAAAACAATGTAGTAAAAAGTATTTTCTTTTATTTCAACAAAATAAATATTTTCTTTTCATGATATAGAATTTTTTTTTATTTTAACAAAATGAGTACTTTTTTTCATGTTGTAGAAAGAGTACTTTATCTTTCAACCAAAAAAAAGAGTATATTCTTTTTAGTTATATAGCATAAATTTCAACGTTATTTTTGGATGAAAAGGTAAAGCAACACATTAGTCCCATTGAGTTTATGTGAATTTTTAAAAGAATAATTATGCTCTTGAAGAAAATAGAGCTATGAAAATATTGGGTATTTGGGGTTTGGAGGGGGAAGGGGGACCACATAAAACATGGGGATTTGAGGGAAGGGGGTAATGAAAGCAGCATAAAATATTATTTTTCTAACAATATTTTCTACAAAAAAAAAAATTCACTCACCAACCAAACAAGGGAAAATAAGTGACAAGACCACTCATTTTTCAAGAAAATATTTTCTAGAAAAATATTTTTCACGAAAAACATTTTCCTTCGTACCAAACACACCCTGACTCTCAAACATTTTATCACCATACCTTATCTCACATATTTTACTGTCACCTTAGACTTCAATATTTAAGTTTAACCAAATATATGAAAAGTTAATCTACAAAATATTTTTTTAAGATATAACCCCATATAAAGAATGATCTATGTTATATACAGTGAGTCAGTGACAAACTGACAATGTTCAATCGTTTATAAGATTAATATAATTTAACATATTATTATAGGTTAGGTATTAATTTATGACTGTCAATTACGTTAATAATTAATATTCATTTGTCATTGAACAGATTTTATAAATAATTTTCATAGACAAGCTATATAAAAAACATTGACATTATATTTTATACTCATAATCTAAAAAAAATAAAAGAAACTGATTATTTTTAATGCGTTGATGAAATTCCAGGTGTGAACTGAAGTCCATGCAACTGTCACTATTCTAACTTTTTCTCTTTTCTACACAAAAGAATAATGAGTTGGAAAAATTTAAAACAAAGAAAGAGAGGAAATATCAAAGTTAGGGGTCGTTTGGTAGGGTGGATAAGAATAATCCTGAATAGGATGTATTAGTAAACGACGCCGTCGCGGTCAGGTTTGCCCCTATTCCCCTCTTCCACCAATCCTCTCTCTTTTTTCTCTGGTTAGTTTTTTTTTTTTTTGCGATTCTCTCTGGCGACCGGAAGATTCAGAATTTGAGCTCTCCGGATCAAGATTCTTCATCCTGTAAGATTTCTATCGATCTATTTTTCGCATATATCACTACTGTTTTGTTACTTCTTTTTTTTTGATTTTTTGGTTTAGGGTTTGTTTCAAGGTTAATGCGCAAGTTTTGTACTTTATATTTGTAGACTGTGATCATTTTGTGTATGGATTTATATGTTTTTTTAGGTTGTATTTAGAGCAATTATAATGTTGAACATTGAATTGGGCGTGAATATAGGTAGAGTTCATTGTTGAAGAAAAGCGAAGAAAGGAGGGTAGAATTGATATTTTTCTGTGTGTATGAGGTGGTGTTGGTGATCAGATCTTGAGAGACTGTTCATATATGGTAGTTTTGATGTTGAAAGGAGTTAAAAAGGGTAAATATGTGGTTTCACTTGTGTTGTTGGTATTCAGTAGAGACCTTTCTGAACATGTGGAGCACCTGAGGATTACTTTTGTGTTGTTGCTTCAACACCAGCTGTATGCCAGACAATCTAAGTGTGTGTTTGCTGCAACCACAGTGGAGTATTTGGGGCACTATATTTTTGCTAAAAGGTGTTGCAACTGACCCTAAGAAGATCCTAGTAGTACAGAAATGGCCCACTCCCACCACCCTTAAGTAACTCGGAGGTTTTTTTGGATTAGCAAGGTATTATAGGAGGTTCGTCAGGGGTTATGGTCATTAGCAGACCTCTTACTGATTTGTTGAAGAAGGATTGCTTCAAATGGACTAATGAAGCCACCCATGCCTTCGAGGAATTGAAGAGAGTGTTGACTACAACTCCCGTTTTACCTTTGCCTAATTTTGATATTCCCTTTATAGTGGAAACTAATGCTTGTGACATGGGTCTGGGTGCTGTACTGATGCAACAAGGGCAACCAATTGCCTATTTGAGTAGGGGATTATTAGTCAAGCACTTATCTTCTCTGTATATGACAAGGAACTCTTAGCTTTAGTAATGGCAATTACCAAATGGAGTCAGTACTTGATAGGCAGACATTTTGTGGTTTGAACTGATCAGAAAGCATTGAAGTTTTTGCTTGAACAACAACTACATACAGGGTCTCAACTTAAGTGGATCACCAAACACATGCAATTTGACTTTGAAATTGAATATAAGAAGGGTAAAGAGAACAAGGTTGCGGATGCCTTGCCTGGAGTTCCTGAAGTTGAACTGGCAACTATGTCTCCGTCCACTGTGAGGACTAATCAACTGGATTCTATCCAAGACAGTTGGAGACTTAATCCAGGGATGCAAGCACTTATTCTCCAATTACAATCCAAACCAAAGGAATGTAAAGGATACAGTTTCACTAACCAGCAACTCAGAAGATATGGGAAGTTGGTTGTAGGTGTTGACTTAGACTTGAGGTCAGAAATTATTACATTGTGGCACTCCTCTCCTCAGGGAGGACACTCGGGGGTGGATAATACATACAGGAGAATCTCGGCTATTT